CTGTTTTGTTTAGACTGGTATTGTTAATTCCTTTGTTGCATCTTCATGATAGTGCCTAAATTCAGCCTATGTGCTGATCAGTGTATTGTTTTAATGTGGCTAGCCTACGGTACCTAGTTGTTCAATCAACAAATAGTTTAGGTGTTGCTGTGAAAGTATTTTATAGATCTGATTGAGTCTCATAATTATTTGACTTCTGTTTTGAGATGGCATCTTGCTCTGTTGCCCAGGCTGGAGTGTGGTGATGCCCTCTCTGCTCACTGCAACCTCTGCCTCCCAGGTTCAAGCAGTTCTCATGTTTCAGCCTCCCCAGTAGCTGGGATTACAGGTGCATGCCACCACACATGGCTAATTTTTTTTTTTTTTTTGTATTTTAGTAGAGACAGGGTTTCACTATGTTCCCCAGGGTGGTCTTGGGCTCCTGAGTTCAGGCAATCTGCCTGGCAAAGCCTCTTAAAGTGCTAGGATTACAGGAGTGAGCCACCACACCTGGCCTATCATTTGACTTTAAGTAAGGGAAATTATCCTAGATAACCTGGGTGGGCTGATTCAATCAGTGAAAGGTCTTAAGAGTTGAACTAAGGCATTTAAAATAAAGGTGAAATTGTAGCTATGTATTGTAGCTTCAGGTCATGCTATAGAGTTTTCGGCCTCTTTCTCTGATAGCCTACCTTATAGATTTCAAACTTGCCTAGTTGGCCCCCACATTTCTATAAGTAAATCCCCTGCAATAAATCCTTTAATATATACCTCCTACTTGTTCTATGTCTCTGGTTGAACCAAATTTGACCTCCAACTGCCCTTCTTTGAACAGTTTCACCTGATGCATCTTTTAGAAATTGCTGTAAAAATTGCTGAGTTGTTGATAAAAATTTGCAAAAGCAACCCATTACTTTAATGTACAGTTTCTATAAACTCTCCTTGCTTTACACAAATATTTATTTCCTGTGGCATCACAATTTGCAGCTTATTTTTCCAGATTCCTGTTTCTGTTTACTGACCAAGAAGGCTTTAACATTCCCTTCACTTGGCTAAACTTTAGACAAGTTTATAGACCTCTGACCTCTGACCTTCCTTTTCTTAGATCATTTACTTTAGAAAACTTGCATTTGTAAAAACTTTCTAAGTTCCTTTGAGATGTAAATCTTCCCCCAGCCTCTTGCTAGTTTTAGAGCCCAGAAGTGTCTTTCTCAAGGAGCCATCTCTATGAAATGTAATCATCAACGAAGATAAGAGTCCCTGTCTCCCTCCTACTCTCTGATAAAGGAAAGGAGGCTAACTTCCATAATCACCAGTTAGCAAACAAAAATGGTCTAATTATACTGACAACCTCCCTGCTTCAGTGTCTTAGAGTACTTTCCCACTAACTCACCCCAGTGCTTAAAAACTCTCTTCTTTTTGTTTCAGTCTTTCTCCCCTGTTGCAATAGTCATGAGTAAAGTCTTCCTTGCCTGTTTAACTCTGTCCAATGCATTTTTTTTCTTGATACTATAATGGGTCATAAGATTAGAGTGTGCATTCTTCAGTTATTCATAATTTGGTAAATTCAAATTCATTTAAATAAGACTTTGTATCATGAGCAGGTTGACTTTGGCATAATGATTGCTATTTTGACAGTATATTCTATTTATAAAAATAGATTTTAACAATTGTATGCAAATTTTTGCATATATAAAAAATGAGAAAAATTATTACATGGTATTTATTTTGAATTAATAAGGACCAGCAGTAGTTTATGTAATATCACTACTATAATGATTTAGATAGATATTGGCTAGCTGTTACCATCATTTCCCAGCTTTTAAGCTCACTCCTCTGTTTTTTCCTCTTCCTTCTCAAACCTTACCCTGAAGACTAAGAAGATAGGAAAATAGTGGCCATTAGTAATTTTGTGCCTACATAGAATTTTTCTTGCTATCTCAAACAGCAAAATTTTAATGTAATTCCAGTTGCTTCAGCTATTGACAACAGAAAAACTAGAAATTGAGAAAAGCCATAGAGAGAAGTTCTGTTTAGATTTCATATGTCTGAGAGACTTAAATAATCCCACATCTTCCTCCGGCTTCTGAGTATAATCATTTCCTTGATATTACAATATTTTCTAGTTTGTGACCATTACTGACTATTGAGCTAAACAAACCAGGGTGGCTACCGGTCAATATAACCAGAGTTCTGGCACATGTAACAAAGAGAAGAATATACTGCTAAGGAAGCTTGGACCCTATGACTAAGCATACAAGAAGGCACTGTGTAGTGGACTCCAGGCCCAAACAGGTTTTGGAGGCAAGCATACCAAACACAAAAATACTGCTGCTTTTTTTTCCTACTGTCTATTCATCTTAAATATTGGGAGTACAGTCTTGATGAAAGGGACCATATGCCTGTTATTACATTATAAACATTATATATCTTGGAATTTAACGAATAATTATATAGAGAATGATTTGTTAAAGATTCTCTATACATAGATGGCTAAATCAATTACTTCATATAAAATTTTTCTCACCAATTTCGTTTTTTTAGGGCAAATATCTTTTAAACCTTTTTTTGCATAAAGTATTGAGTATTGCAATCTTAGTCATCTATAATTCCAAAAAAGTAAATACAGAGATAGTACTCTGTTTACATTCCCCAAACAAGAATTAGAAAATCATAAATATTCTCCCATATCTAGCAATAAAGGATTAAAGTAAAACGTATATAAAAAGCAACACATTAGAACATACTACCATAGATAATCACTTAACCACAAAGGGAGACACTAAGAAAGGAAGACAAGAGTCTCAAAAGAACTAGAAAACAAGCAACATAATGGCAGTACCAAGTCTTTATTCATCAATAATAACACTAAATGTAAATAGTTTCCATTCTCCAACTAAAAGACATGCAGTAGCTGAATTTCTAAGGAAACAAGATCCAACTATATGCTGCCTTTAAGAACCCCACCTAACCTCTAAAGACACAATAGACTGAAAGTAAGGGGGCAGAAAAATATTTTGCATGCAACTGGAAAGCAAAAAAGAGCAGGAGTAGATATACTGATATCAGATAAAATAGACTACAAACCAAAAACTGTAAAAAAAAAGACAAGGGAGGTTTCCATATAATAATAAAGGAATTGATTCAGCAGGAGGATATAATAATTATAAAGATGTTTTTTGCATCCAACAGTAGAGCTCTCAAGTATATCATGCAAACATTAATAGATCTAAAGGGAGAGATATACTGCAATAGAATAATAGTAGGCAACTTTAACACCAACTCTCAATCTATACAGAAAATCAAAAAAGAAATAGTGGAGTTAAACTACAAACTAGATCTAATAGGCCTAATTGACATTTACAGAATATTTCACCCAATGCAGCGGCATACATGTTCTTTTCATCAGCACATGAAACATTCTCCAGAATAGACCATGTCTGAATCCACAAAACAAGTCTGCACAAATTCCACCACAATAGAAATTATATGAAGTATCTTTTCTTTTTTTGTATTAAAAAAATTTTTTTTTTAATTTTATTTTGGGGCAGAATCTCACTCTGTTGTGCATGCTAGTGTGCAGTGGCACAGCCTGGCTCACTGCAACCTCTGCTTCCAGGGTTCCAGTGATTCTCCTGCCTCAGCCTGCTGAGTAGCTGAGAATTTTTTGTGTTTTTAGTAGAGATGGGGTATTCCCATGTTGATACCTGGTCTTGAACTTCTGACCCCAGGTGATCTACCTGCCTTGGCCACCCAAAGTGCTGGGATTACAGGTGTGAGCCACCTCACCCAACCTCATATCTTTTCTGACCATGGTGGAATAAAACTAGAAATCAATAGAAACCTCAGAAAATACACAAACATGAAAATTGTACACCATGCTCCTGAGTGACCAATGGGTCAATAAAGAAATTAAGAAGTAAATTTGACAAGTTTTTGAAACAAATAAAAATGGAAATACAACATACCAATATCTGTGGGATACAGCAAAAGCAGTACCAAGAGGGAAGGTTCTAGAAATAAACTTCTATGTAAGAAAAGTAAAAAGAACTCAACCTAATGATGTACCTCAAAGATCTAGGGAACAAGGGCAAACCAAACCCAAAATTAGTAAAAGGAAAAAATAATAAAGATCAGAGCAGAAATAAATGAAATTAAGACTAAAAAAATACAGAAGATTAACAAAAAGTTGGTCTTTTGAAGATAAAATTGACAAACTTACAGTTAGGTTAATTAAGAAAAAAGAGAGAAGACTCAACTAAATCAAATTAGAAATAAGAAAGGAAACATAACTGAGACCTCAAAAATACATGGAATCGTTAGAGACTATTAGGAACAACTATATCCCAATACATTGGAAAACAGAATAAATAGATAAATCCCTGGACATGTACAACCTACCAAGATTGAACTGTGAAGAAATAAAAAGCCTCAACAAACCAACAACAAGTAATGAGACTGAAACAGTAGTAAAAAGTCTCCCATCAAAGAAAAGCCCAGGAAATCATGGATTCACTTCTGAATTCTACCAAACATTTAAAGAGCTATTACCAATCCTACTCAAACTCTTCAAAAAAAATTAGAAGAAAGAATGCTTCCAAACTCATTCTATAAGGCCAGTATTACTCTCATACCAAAACCTATCAGGGACAAAACAAAAAAGAGAAAGCTACAGGCCAATATTACTGATGAATATAAAAATATATAAAATATATAAATATATAATATAAAAATAGAAATATATACAAATATAACTATATGAAATATAAAGAATTGCTCTTGTTTTCGCTCCGGATTCTCCATGTTGGACCCAAACTGAGGAGCCCGGAGTTGCCGCCGGGGAATCCGGGCCAGGGGCACCCAGAGGAGCCGCTTCCCCGGGCCGCCCGCCCTCAGTACAGGCCGCCTCCCTTCCCGGTCCGGGGAGGAAACGAGAGGGGGGATGTGAACAGCTGTGGAAGTCGGAGTATGCCCAGCCCAGCCCGCGCTCCTGCCCGTCCTCCCGCCCAGCCAGCCCGGGCCCGCGGGATTGTTAGATGGAACACGGCTTCATCATCACCCAGGCGCGGAGGGAAGACGCCCTGGTGCTCACCAAGTAAGGCCTGGTCTCCAAATCCTCTCCTAAGAAGCCTCTTGGACGTAACATCTTCAAGGCCCTTTTCTGCTGTTTTCGCGCCCAGCATGTTGGCCAGTCAAGTTGCTCCACTGAGCTCGCTGCGTATAAGGAGGAAGTGAACACCATTGCTAAGTCGGATCTGCTCCAGTGTCTCCAGTACCAGTTCTACCAGATCCCAGGGACCTGCCTGCTCCCAGAGGTGACAGAGTAAGATCAAGGAAGGATCTGTGTGGTCATTGACCTGGACGAAACCCTGGTGCACAGCTCCTTTAAGCCAATCAACAATGCTGACTTCATAGTGCCTACAGAGATTGAGGGGACCACTCACCAGGTGTATGTGCTCAAGAGGCCTTATGTGGACGAGTTCCTGAGACGCATGGGGGAACTCTTTGAATGTGTTCTCTTCACTGCCAGCCTGGCCAAGTATGCCGACCCTGTGACGGACCAGCTGGACTGGTGTGGGGTGTTCCAGGCCCGCCTATTCCGTGAGTCCTGCGTGTTTCACCAGGGATGCTACGTCAAGGACCTCGGCCGCCTGGGGAGGGACCTGAGGAAGACTCTCATCCTGGACAACTCGCTTACTTCTTACATCTTCCACCCTGAGAATGTAGTTCCTGTGCAGTCTTGGTTTGATGACATGGCAGACACCGAGTTGCTGAACCTGATCCCAATCTTTGAGGAGCTGAGCAGAGCAGAGGACGTCTACACCAGCCTTGGGCAGCTGCGGGCCCCTTAGACTTCCCTGCTTCCAGGCAACGGCCATCCCAGTAGGGGACTTTCCCACACTGTGCCTTTATGATTAGTGTGACAGAGTGGAAGCTGGAGCGCCTCACCACACGGCCCAGAAACAGTGAGAAGTGATTGGAAAGAGCTTTAGGACAACCTAGACGCCGAGTGGGCAAATGCCAGACAATGATACCCAGAGCTACCTGCTGCCAAGTTGTCAACATGTGTGTGTGACAGAGAGAGAGAGAGAGAGAGAGAAAGAGAGAGAGAGAGAGAGAGAGAAAGAGAAAGAGAGAGTTTGTGTGTGTGTTGCCATGAACTGTGGCCCCAGCATATAGTGTTTCACTGGGGAGAAGCTGAAAGACCAAGACTTCCCAAGTGAGCTTGCCTCCTCTCCTGTCACCTTAGGAGCCACTGAGCTCTATAAGGATGGAGACTACTGAAGACTCCATTGCCAAACCATGGCCTTTCCTCAGTGTTGTAAGGCCTATGCCAAGGAGAAAGGGAGGTATGCCTTTGGGTGCTCCAGGCACACACCTTTCTGAAATCCTCCAGCCAGCTGCTGCAGACAAAAGATGACATTTCTGGGAAGATGAGGACTTGATTCCAGACCAGCACCTCAGTAGCCATTAGAGCTTGTGGCCCAAAGGCTATGCTTGTGTCCAGCTGAGTGCCTGGGATGGGCCCTTTCTGTGTCTCCCCAAGGCTGGATTGCTGAGCCTGCCTTCCTCACCACCTAGCCATAGTCTCAAACCTGTGGGGAAGGAGGTTTTCTCCCTGCCTGAGAAGAGGACAGATAACTGATTTCCGTTCTTTTGATTCTGTTTTAAAATTCTCTTCTAAAAAAAAGAAAAAAGAAATATAAAGGATCCTCAACAAAATACTAACAAACTGAATTTAACAACCATGATCAAGTGGGATTCATCCCAGAGAGGCAAGGACAATTTAACATAAACAAATCAGTAAGTGTGATACATCACATTGCCAGAATCAAGTTTTGTCCAAAATGTGTTTAGAACTGTTACAATTCTTTAATATTTATTGAGACATTTTAGGGCTAACAAGTACTCTATCTCTGAATGTCTTGTGTGTACTTTTTAAATTAAATTTATTTATTTTACTTTAGGTGCATACTATATCTGGCATTTCTCCCCTTGTTATCCCCCCCACCCTCCCCTCCCTCCTCACCCCCCACTGTCTCTCCCCTACCGCCGCTACTGTCCCCTATGTGTGATGCTCCTCTCCCTGAATCCATGTGTTCTCGTTATTCAACACCTACATATGAGTGAGAACATACGGTGTTTGACTTTCTGTTCTTGTGTCAGTTTGCTGAGAATTATGGTTTCCAGATTCATCCAAGTCCCTACAAAGGACACAAACTAATCGTTTTTTATGGCTGCATAGTATTCTGTGGTGTATATGTACCATATTTTCTTTGTCCAGTCTATCATTGATGGGCATTTTGGTTGCTTCCAGGTCTTTGCTATTGTACACAGGGCTGCAGTGAATATATATGGGTGCATGTGTCTTTATAGTAGAACAATTTATAGTTCTTTGGGTATATACCCAGCAGTGGGATTGCTGGGTCAAATGGAATTTCTATTTCTAGATCCTTGAGAAATCGCCACACTGTCCTCCACAATGGTTGAACTAATTTACACTCCCACCAACCTATTTCTCCACATCCTCTCCAGCATCTGTTGTCTCCAGATTTTTTAATGATTTCCATTCTAACTGGCATGAGATGATATCTCAGTGTGGTTTTGTTTTGCATTTCTCTAATGACCAGTGATGATGAGCAATTTTTCATGTTTTTTGGCCTCATATATGTCCTCTTTTGAAAAGTGTCAGTTCATATCCTTTGCCCACTTTTTGATGTGTTTATTTCTTTCCTTGTAAATCTGCTTTAGATTGTAGATTCTGGATATTAGCCCTTTGTCAGATGCGGAGATTGCAAAAATTTTTTACCATTCTGTTGGTTCCAGGCTCACTCTAATGATTGTTTCTTTTGCTGTGCAGAAACTCTTAAGTTTAATTAGGTCCTAGTTGTCTATTTTGGCTTTTGTTGCCATTGCTTTTGGTGTTTTAGTCATGAAGTCCTTGCCTATGCCTATGTCCTGAATGGTGTTGCCTAGGTTTTCTTCTAGGATTTTTATATTGTAGCCTTATGTTTAAATCTTTAATCCATCTGGAGTTCATTTTTGTGTAACGTGTAAGGAAGGGGTTCAGTTTCAGCTTTCTGCATATGGCTAGCCAGTTTTCCCAACACCATTTAATAAACAGGGAATACTTTTCCCATTGCTTGTTTTTGTCAGGTTTGTCAAATATTAGATGTTATTTCTTTGTAATTTCTTTTTACATTGTTCACAGTTGGCATACAGAAATGCTACTGATTTTTGTATGTTGATTTTGTATCCTGAAACTTTACTGAACTTACTTATCAGTACTAATAGTTTTCTTGGGGAGTCTAGTTTTTTCCAAATACAAGATCGTATCATCTGCAAACAAAAATAATTTGACTTATTCCTTTCCTATTTGGATGCCTGTTATGTTATATCTTTCTCTTCTGTGATTGTTCTAGCTAGGACTTGCAGTAGTTTGTTGTATAACAATGGTGATAGTGGGCATCCTTATCATGTTCCAAATCTAAAAAAAAGAAAAAAGACTTTAGTTTTTCCCCATTCAGTATGACACTAGCTTTGGGTGTGTTATATATGTCTTTTAATATGTTAAAGTATTTTATTCTATCCCCAGTTTTTTGAGGTTTTTGTTTTATGAAGAAATGCTGAATTTTATCAAATGCTTTTCCAGCATCAGTTGAAATAATTGTATGTTGATTCATTCTGTTGACATGATGTATCACATGGATTGATTTGCATATGTTGAACTATCCTGGAATCCCAGGAATGACTCTCATTTTGTCTTGATGAATGATCTTTCTAATGTATTGCTGAATTAGGTTTGCTAGTATTTTGTGAGAATTTTTGCATCAATGTTCATTAGCAATTTTGGCTGGTAGTTATCTTTCTTTGAGGTGTCTTTGTCTGATTTTAGTATAAGGGTAATACTGGTCTCATAGAATTAGTTTGCAAGTACTCTTTTTTTATTTTTTAGACTAGTTTGAGTAGGATTGCTGCTAGTTCTTCTTTAAATGTTTTATAGAATTTATCAGTGAAACCATCAGGTCCCAAGCTTTTCTTTACTGAAAGACTTTATTATGGCTTTGATCTCATTACTTGTTATTGGTTTGTTTAGGTTTTAGATTTTATTCCTGGTTCTTTTGGTAAGTAGTATGCAGCTAGGAATTTGTCCATTTTTTCTAGAATTTATACTTTATTGGCATATAATTGTTCATAGTAGCCACTATGACCCTTTGAATTTCTGCAGTATTTGTTGTAATGTCTTCTTTCTCATTTCCGATTTTATGTACTTGGATCTTCTCTTTTGTTCTTGGTCTGACTAAAGGTTTGTCAATTTTGTTAAACTTTTTAAATACCTGGTTTTATATCATTTTTCATTTCAATTTCATTGATTTCTGCTCTGATTTTTATTATTTCTTTTCTTGTACTAATTTTGGGTTTGGTTTGCTCTTGTTTTTCCAATTCTTTAAGATGCATCATTAGATTGTTCATCTGAAGCTTTTTTTTTAATGCAGGAACTTATAGATATTAACTTCCCTATGAGTACTGCTTTTGCTTTATTCCATTGCTTTTGGCATGTTCTGTTATCATTTGTTTCAATACATTTTTCAATTTATTTTTTAATATTCTTATTCAGCCACTGGTCATTCAGGGGCATATTGTTTAGATTCTATGTATTTGTATAGTTTCAAAAATTTCTCTTGTTATTCATTTCTAGTTTTCTTTTATTATGGTCAGAGAAGATGGCTGATATAATTTCATTTATTTTTAGTGTTTTAAGGCTTGTTTTGTGACCTAAAATATGATCTACCTCTGACAATGATCCATTTGCAAGAAAAAGAATGGGTAGTCTGCAACTGTTGCATGAAATGTTCTACAAATATCTATTAGATCTATTTGGTTTATATTGCAGACTAACCTGGGAGGCTCTTTGGAGCTCCCCATGGGGGAAAAGTTTCTGTCTAGCCCAAAAGGTAGCCCTGACTGGCATGTAGAAACATTGCTGTCAGCTTTACCACTTTCAGTCACAGAAGATACACAAAGGGACAGTAGTCTCAATAATTGTTTAAACACATTTTTAAATGCTATTTTTTTCCTCCATGTAAAAACAAATATTTTTGGCCAGTACAATGCTAAATGCCAGAAATCTATGTTATAACATTTTGAGTTTCATTTTGATCTAATTCAGTTCTAGTAAAAGAAATTTTCACCTGAAAAGCATTGATTGATTCCTCTCTGTAGTAATTCATTTTTAAAAATGCACTTGAAACTGGGTTGATACATCAACAGGAAGATTCTATTTTTTCTGTATTTTGTAGCATCATTGTCTGTACCCAGAGCAAGAGAATAGCAAAGCTATCTTTGGATTATCTGTGCTTTTATGTCTAATTTTGTTTGAGGTACTTTTTATGAAAAAAAGACGAAAGCATGAAAAATGTAAATTTCTTTTGATACTTTAAAGATTAGTAGGTCTCTTCTTTTTAGAAATATTCACCAGTAAAAATTTTTCCTGTTTTTATGTTTAGGTATATATAATGTAAGAAATGCAAGTATAAGATAAATAGCATGTTTTTTAAAAATAGTTTAAGTTCTGTGGTACATGTGCAGATCATGCAGGTTTGTTACATAGGTCATGGTGGTGGTTTGCTGCATCCATTGCTCCATCATCTATATTAGGTATTTCTCCTAATGCTATCCCTCCCCAATCCATCCACACCCTACTATTCCTCCCCAGCCCCCCAAGCCTCAATAGACCCCAGTGTGTAATGCTTGCCTCCTGTGTTCCTGTGTTCTCATTGTTCAACACCCACTTATGAGTGAGAACATGCAGTGTTTAGTTTTCTGTTTTTGTATCAATTTGCTGAGAATGATGGTTTCCAGTTTCATCCATTCCCTGCAAAGGACATGAACATGGAATTTTTATGGCTGCATAGTATTCCATAGTGTATATGTGCCACATTTTCTTCTTCCAACCTATCCTTGATGGGCATTTGGGTTGGTTCCAAGCCTTTGCTATTGTAAACAGTGCCACAGTAAACATATGGATGCATGTGTCTTTATAATAGGAAGATTTATAATCCTTTTTGCTGAGTCAAACGGTATTTCTATTTCTAGATCCTTGAGGAATCACCACACTGTCTTCCACAATGGTTGAACTAATTTACACTCCCAACAGTGTAAAAGCATTCCTATTTCTCCACATCCTCTCCATCATCTGGTGTCTCCGGATTTTTTAAATGATCACCATTCTAACTGGCATGAGGTGGTATCTCAATGTGGTTTTGATTTGCAGAAATCAAATGACCAGTGACAATGAGCATTTTTTCATGTTTGTTGGCCTCATAAATGTCTTCTTTTGAAAAATGTCTCTTCATATCCTTTGCCCACTTTTTGATGGGGTTGTTTTTTTTTCTTGTAAATTTGTTTAATTTCCTCATAGATTCTGTATATTAGCCCTTTGTCTAATGGGTAGATTGCAATTTTTTTCCCCATTCTGTTGTATAATTTTATGCAAATTCTAGAGTATATATTATAAAGTAGTTTCAAATTTAAAATACTTAAATGATGTTTTATGGTTTGGATGCAATTTTGCCCCTACTGCATTCTCAATTTATGGAGTCATTTGTTGAGTAATGACTTAAGTGTCAGACATGATGCTAGGCCTGGGGACTAAGCCTCTTTATCTTCAAAGATATTAA